TTTTTGGAGTATTTTCCTATATGTGGGTCATCCATATTTTGCCGACCTTTACAACCCCATAACTTTTTTATTTATGAACCGATTCTCAAAATTCAAGAAGCATAATTCTTAGAGTTGAAAATTCTTTCTTAGGTACCAAAAAAAAAAGGGCAAAAGTGAACATTTAAATTTTCATTGGCATTGCTACGCTATAGCCATGTTCTACTGTATTCATAATTTTAGGCCAGGGCATAGCTTATTCACAGTTCACTTTTAACCGACAGCAGTTAAAACTTGTTGAAGATAAAAGGAAATTGCTCTGTTTAATCTTCTCTGATCTTTGCATACGGGTTTGAAAGTTGGATGAGCAACAAGAATTATAAAAGCGGATTCCTAATAGGTCACTGCAAACTAAGGTTCCGACATGTTTTCTCTAATTCTTTGATGTTAGCCTGCAAGTTGAAGCTGAAAACTAAAGTAGGTAAAAAGATAATAGAAATAGATGGGTATTTACAGCAAGGGCTATGCTTAAAACATAAAAAAAATGACATCAAATGCTGGCGTTTTATATTTTCTAGATTTTTTAGAAACATGGAAAGCATTTTAATCTAATTTGGGGATACCAAATTTCTTACTGATTTCAGTGTTACTGCAGGTCTTCTTGTCAGTCTCTGCTAAAATCTGGCGTTTGGTTTCTTTTGTACATAATTGAGTTCCATTGTCGATGACAATTAAATTTTCTCTTCTCTGCCATCAGGAAAAGCATCTGGTATGTATCGATAAAAGAATAGCAGAATAGATAGTGCATGTGCCTTGTTGGATGTCAAAGCAAGAGAGAGGAAGAGAGTTTTGCTGATGAACCTTGCGACTAAAATAAAATTATTCAATGCATAAGATCACTATTATGATGAGTTTTGAGTGTACGTGTTGTCTGTGCCTGACTACATCTAAATAATATGCGAAATATTCACAGTTTGTATGCATTGCGTCCATTTAATGGCTTTAAACCAAACCATTTATGTTCTTTTTCATAGTTGTTTTAAAAATGTAATTTCTTTTTCAGACATGTCCTCTTCTTTTGAGGGTTTTTTGCAGCAATGATCGACATCACCCCCTTATGGAGTTCTCCAGAGGAAGCACTCCCACTAATGAGCTCCAGATCTACACTTGGTAAGGCTTTCAGAGTTTTAGCCAGAACAGTAAAGTTTTACTGGTACTGAAAAGAGTCAATGCAGACTTGAATGCTTACCACGCAACTCTGTTCTTAATACTTCTTAGACTTAGAGAGAGTATATTTTTATAGACAGGAAAGTTTTGAAATGTAAACTAAGAACTGAATAATTGTATTTAGAAAATGTACACATGGCAACTTGATCTGGATTCTGGTAAATGATTATAACAAAGAAAATGTAGGCAGCTTTATATGGGTCCTGACGGAGGTATTGTGAATCTGGCATCTTCTGAATTCGCTGGGTGGAATGGAATGTTCCATTTTGGTTGATCTAATGTTTCAGTGAAACGAGATCTAACAGGCCCTAGCATATTATTAGTTCAATAGTTCTATGTAGATGTATGTGGTGGTGATGTTGTGTTGGGGACAAATGTGCCTCTTTGTCTTTTGATATGTGGATAAATATAGTTTGGTTTCATATGTGAAGAGTTTTATTTTCCTTGATGCTATCAAATAGAGGTGTAGGACTAGTCTTTGAATTGACTTCAAGGGAAGCATTTAACAACGCAGGCGCTTCTTTTGCTTGTCCATGCCATCACACAAAACCCCTCTCCAACCACCACAACCACTTTTCATGCTAGTGCTATCGTCTCGCATGTTTTGAACAGACCCGTGTATTTGGAATGCAGGCATTTGTGGCAGTCAAAGAAGTCCTCTGATTGTTCACACTGAAGGATTTGGTAATTTGATAGGCCATTTCACTATATGAGGTGAAAACTCATGTGTAGGCTGGTTGTTTCAATAATTTTACTGAAGAGACAAAGAATATCTGTACTTGAAGCTGTTGATAAAGCTCTTGTGTAGGTCACCTGAAATAAACAAAAGTTGAATTACTCAAGCAGGGGCTGTGTCAAGAAAAGCAACTGTTCATATACAAGCACTTTGAGGCATTAGTGGTTCCTTTCCTTTCTGCTGGCACTGTGACTTTCAGAACAAATGTCACATGTTATCGATTTTTAAAAAAGTGTATTAGTTACTCCTTATAATAAATTATAACAAATACATAGATTCAATGATCTTGAAGTTTGAGCCCTACAACTTCATTTTAAGTGAGTTTCACTGTATGAGAATATTTTGAAGGAGCAGACCACACTAGT